TTCAATCACTATTCAACACAACTAGGGTTAGAATTGGAGAAAGAAGGGGAAACATGGGTCTCATGGGGGATTCTTCAAAAATCACCAACACTACATGAATTCATCCATAATTGTTCATATATCATCAATCAAAATCATCTTATAACAACAATTCAACATTTATAAAGAAGACCCATGTTTTTGGATTGCAATCTACAATTTGGGGGACTTTGAAAACCATCTTTGGAAGGACCTCTTGGGGAAAGGGATCCCAAGAGTGAAGAGAAACCATACCTTAGTTAAATTCTATGAATTTCGTGTGAAACTTCCCATCTACAAGCCCTTGCTAAGATCCTTCCAAGTTCTTCAATGGAGTCTTGAGTTGAGAGAGTTTTTGAGAGAGAATTTTTGGGAGGGAAAGAATTGGGTTATGTTTTGGGGTCTTGACTTGTGGTGAATTAATGGATTAGTTTAGGGTCCTATAAGCTTATATAGTCCATTAATTAACCACCTCACCGACCTCCCTTAACCCCTACTTAATAACTAATTAAAACATTAACCCCCAACTTAACTAAAAACTTCATAAAACTGGCAGCATCTACGCCCTCCACCTACGGACCGTAGGTGGAGTCACGGACCTTAGTTTGGCCTTCATAGTTCTGACAGTGCTTCACTATTTCGACCATAAATTTTTACTCCGAGATCGGAATTGGGCAAACTCGGTGGCATTGGAAAGAGGACTCAGAGACCTTTCATTGGATAAGTAATGGCCCACCTAATTCATGTTTCTCTATGAGATATGACCATTTAAAGTTGACCCTCAATCCTAACTTAAAACTAAAACTCTTTTTAGGGGGGACTGTTTTGAGGGTCTAGTTTCCAAACGATTCCATGGTTTAGTTTAGGGTCTTTTTAGCTTAAAAGGGTCATTAACTAACTAACTAAACAACCTCATAAGCCCTTAATAAATCAAACAACTAAATTCCAAAACACCAACCTAAAACTAGAGGGCTGGAAATTGGCAGCACCTACGGCCACCCACCTACGGACCGTAGATGGAGTTACGGCCCGTGCTGTGCTCTCGTCATTTGATTCAGAGAAGGGGATTGGGGAGGTATTGGTGGGGAGACTAAGTCTCAACCCACGATACCTACCTATGGGGCGTTGGTCA